CTCTGTATCTATGAGCTTGTTTCTGTTGTTTGTTTGTTTATCCTGTTCTCTAGATTTCACATATGACATTTGTCTTTCTCTGACTTAATCCACTCAGCATAATACCCTCTAGGTCCAACCATGTTGTTGCAGATGGCAAAATTTCATTCTTTTTTATAGCTAATATTCCATTGTGTGTGTATATATGTCACCTCTTCTTTATCCATTCATTATTGATGAACACCCAGAATGCTTCCATATCTTGGCTACTGTACATAATGCTGCAATGAACATATGGATTTATATGTCCCTTCCAAGTAATGTTTTAGGTTTTTTCAGATAAATACCTAGAAGTGGGATAACTAGGTCCTTCTTTGTCTCTTCTTATAGACTTTGTTTTTAAAGTCTATTTTGTCTGGTATAAGTATTGCTAACCCAGTTGTTTGTTGTTGTTGTTGTTGTTGTTGTTGTTTCTATTTTCACAAAACATCTTTTTTCATCCCTTTACTTTCAAACTCTGTGTATCTTTCAATCTGAAGTGAGTCTCATATATTCTGGCTATGTCTTTTTCCAGATATATGATATGCAAATATTTTTTCCTACTATGTGACTTGTATTCTCATTCAGTTCACATTGTCTTTCAGAGGGCAGAAGTTTTAAAATTTCGATGAAGTATAATTTACCCATTTTGTCATGTATGGATCATACTTTTAGAGTCATAACTAAGAAATCTTTGCCTAACTCATGTTTATGGATTTTCTTCTATGTTTTCTTCTATATATTTTATAGTTGTAGGCTTTATATTCAGTCTATGATCCCTTTTGAATAAGTTTTTATATGGTGTGAAGTAGGGATTGAAATTCATTTACTTGGATATTGATAACCAATTATTCAGCACCATTTGTTTAAATGATTTTACTCCTTTGTTGAAAATCAGCTGTTCATACACAACATTGAATACAAAGCTGAATAGAAGTTATAAAAGTAGATATCCTTGTATTGTTCTTAAGAGTATAAGCATTCAGTCTTTCACCATTAAGTATGATCTTAGCTGTAGGGTTTTCGTAGATGCTCTTTATCAGGTGGAGAAATTCTTTTCCTAGGTTGTGGGTATTTTAAGAATCAGGAATGCATGTTGGATTTTGTTAAGAGTTTTTTCTATCTCTATTGAGATGATCATATTATTTTCCTTTTTTAGTTTGTTGATATGATAAATTACATCAATTGATTTTCAAATGTTAAACCATATTTACAGTCCTGGGGATAATTCCACTCGGTCATGATATATTCTCCTTTTCCTACATTTTTTTTCAATTTGCTAATATTTAGTTTAAAAGTTTTGCATCTATGCTCACAAGAGATATTTGCATTTTTCTTGTAAAGTCTTTGTCTGGTTTTGGTATCAAGATGGAGCTGGCTTCATGAAACCCAATAGGAAATATTCCCTCCTTTTCAATTTTACAAAATAATTTGTGAAGAACTGGTATTATTTTTTCCTTTATTGTCTGGTATAATTAACCAATGAAGACACTTGGGCATGGAGTTTGTGGGAAGGTCTCTGACTAAAAATTTAATTTCCTTTATAGATATAGGGCTGAGGTTGTCTATTTCTTCTTGAGTGAGCATCCATACTTTGTGTTTTTCAAGGAATTTGTTATTTTCATCTAAGTTGTTGAATGTATTGGAATAAAGTTGTTCATAACAGTCTCTTATTATTCTTTTGTTATCTGTAGGGTTGGTGGCAATGTCCCCTCTCTCATTTCATTTATTGGTAATTTCTATCCTTTCTTTTTTCCTGATCAGTATGGGTAGAGTTTATCAATTTTATTGATCATCTTAAAGAAATGCTTTTGGAATTATTGATTTTCTTTTTTTGTTTCTTATTTCATAGATTTCTCTTCTCCTTTTAATTATTTCCTTCCTTATGCTTATTTTGAATTTTATGTGCTCTTTTTGTTTTCTTGTTCCTTAAAGTAGAAGCTGAAGTTGTTGATTTGAGATATTTCTTCTTTTTGGATATACCTGGTTAGTACTATATAGTTCTCTCTCCCTGCACCCCACAAATTTTGTCCTAATTTTTATTCAAAATATATTTAAGACTCAGTTCAAAGTACTTTTAATTTCCCTTTTTATTTTTCTTTGTACCAATGAGTTTTTTAGAAGTGTATTATTTAGTTTCCAGATATTTGAATTTCTAGATGTAGTTCTGTAATTGATTGCAAATTTAATTTCATTGTGGTCAGAGAACATATTTTATATAATGAATTCTTTTCTATGTATGAATATTTTTATTATGACACAGGATATTTTCTATCTTGGTAAATATTTCACGTGCACTTGAAAAAATGTGTATTCTGCTGTTATTGAGTGGAATGTTCCTATAAATTTCTATATTAAGTTCATTGGTAGCATTGTTCAAGCCTTTTATATTTTACTGATTTTCTTTTACTTATTCTATCAGTTATTGAGAAAGGGGTATTGAAATATCTTAATATAATAGATTTATTTCTCCTTCAGTCCTCTAACTTTATTTAATTTGAAGCTCTGTTTTTTGGAGCATAAATGTTTTGAATTATTATGTCCTCTTTATTAACCAGCCCATTTATCATTACAAAATGACTTTTACTCCTTGCTTTGAAATATTTGTCTGATGTTAATATGACCATAGAATGAGGAAGTCTTTTTTATTAGAATTGGCACAGTATATCTTTTTCTATCCTTTTAACTGATTGTGTTTTTATATTTAAAATGCGTTTCTTGTAGTCAAAATATAGTTGGGTTTTGCTTTTTCAATCAGATAACCTCTGCTTTTTAATTGAGATGTTCAAACCATTTATATTATTGTTGTTATTGATATGGTTTGGCTTAAGTCTACCATCTTGCTATTCATTTTCTGTATGCTTTGTTCCATTTTTCTTCTTTTTCTGCCTACTTTTGAATTAAGGTTTTCTATAATTCCATTTATCTCATATGTTGGATTTTTCTATAAATACTTGTTTTGTCATTTTGGTGGTTGTTTACAGTTTAATTCTTTAACTTATTAGCAACTACCTTCAAGTGATACTATACTTCATGTATTGTATGAGAACTTTACAATAGTATATTTCTATTTCTCCATGCCTTTGGTGGTATCGTCATACATTTTACTTATTTGCATATTTAAAAACATACAACACATTATCATTATTTTGGTTCAGACGGTCAAGTATCTTTAAAGAGATATAATAGGCAAAATAAATGTTTACCTGTGTTCTTCACGTTTCTAGTTATCTTTATTCCTTTTTGTGTTTCTTATTTCTATCTCGTATTATTTTCTTCTGCTTGAATAATTGCCTTTAAAATTTATTGTAGGGGATTACTCCTGGTGATGAATTCTTTCAGCTTTTGTATGTCTAAAGACTTTATTTCAATTTTTAAAAATAACAGCTTTATTGAGATGTAATTCATATACCATATAATTCAACCATTTAAAGTTAATAATTTAGTGTTTTTTAGTATATTTGCAGAGTTGTGCAACCATCACCATAATCAATTTTAGAATTTATTTATTACTCTAATAAGAGATCCTATAACCACACCATAGCCCCACCTCCTGCTTCCCCTCACTGCTAGACCTAGGAAACTAATATACTGTTTATCCCTATTTGCCTTTTCTGGACATTTCATTTAAATGGAATAATACAATATGTGGTCTTTGTGATCGGCTTCTTTTATTTAGCATAATGTTTTCATGGTTCACCCATGTTGTAGCATATACTGGTACTTCATTTCTTTTTATTGCCAAATAATTTTCCATCTTATGGATATAACATTTTATTTATTCATTTATCAGCTCATAGACATCTGGGTTGTTACCCTTTTTTTGGCTATGATGAATTTCAGTTCAATGACTAAACTTATGTTTACTTCCCTTCTTAGCCAGCCTGGAGTCCATGACCTAGCACTAAAAATGATCTGTTTAAAACACCAAAAACCCCTTGCTCCTCTTTTCTGTCCATAATTCTTGCCTGGTAACTCAACCATTGGCTAAATCATTTGTTTATTTCACACAGCTGC